TCAGAGGTTGTGGCATGTGGTATACAGTCAGGAAGGAGTCCTGAATATTGACTCCTGACTCCGGAAGGTTCATGGCATAAGGTAAAACATGGACACAGAAACCTCCTGTTGATTACCACATAATGCACCCCTTCCCCATCCTTCTCAGCTAATGAATCAGTTCTCTTCCATTTGAACACAGCTTAGAGGATGCAATGGTGGTGGCAAGGGCACAGAACGTACTTTGGTAGGGAGCTTCAAAATCCAGCAGTAACACCACTACTGGCTGAGTAGGCCATTCAGCCAATCAAGTCACTTCCACCATTTAATACAATTCTGGCTGATCAACTATTTCAACACCTTTTTCTAACGTCATCCCCATCCTCAGGAGTTACCTTAGCTCATAGGTATTTAGAAATCTGTCAATCTCTGCTTTAAACATACTCAATGACTGAGTTTCCAAAGCTCTAAGGGGTGGAGAATTTCAAATTGTCATGACCGTCAATTATAAGACATGCATCCTCCTCTCATTCCTATGTGGCTTCCCTCTTGTTTTGAAATTGGGTACCTTTGGTTCTAGCTGGGGGAAACATCTTACCTACATCTACCCCCTCTGTAGCTTTAACATTTGATAGGTTTTGATGAGATCACCTCTCATTCTTTGAAAGTCTAGAGAATACAGGCCCAGTTTAACTCATCTCTCTTGAAAGGACAGTCCTGTTGTCATGGGAACAAGTCAGGCAAACCTTTATTGCACTCCTTGTTTGTAAATAATATCTTTCCTAAGGTAAGGGGAGCAAACCTGCATACAGTATTCCAGTGGCAGTCAAATCAAGGTTCTATACAACTGAAGCAAGGCTTCATTACTCCTGCACTCAAATCCTCTTTCAGTAAATGCTAACATTCTATTAGCCTTTCTAATAGCTTGCCACATCTGTATGTTAGCCTTCCATGACATATTTATGAAGACATCCATGTCCCTTTGTGTGTTTACACTTTTTAATCTCTTACAATTTAAGAAAATCTCTACATGTTGGTTCCCAAGTGGATAACCTCACATTTTTCCATGATATATTCCATCAGCCAATCTGCAGGAACCATCCAATATCTACAGAATCTTTGGAGATAATCACCAATACATAATTTCCATTTAACATTCTAGGCTGGATCTGCTGCAGGCAGTAATGGAACAAACAAGAGGAAAAAACATACTTGACTTGGTCCTCACAAATCTACCAAGAAGAAATGCAGCTATTCATGACAGTTATGTTGGGACTGACCACCACATGGTCCTTGTGGAGACAAAGTTCAAGCTTCACATTAAGGATACCCTCTAATATGTTATATGGTGTTACCACCGTGCTTAATGGGATAACGTTTGAGCAAGTCTAGCAACTCAAAACTGTGTATCCAAGAGGGGCTTGAGCTATCAGTAGCAGCAAAATTGTATTAAGCCACATCTGTAGTTTCATTGCTTGGCAACTCTCACACTCTGCCATTGTCACCAAGCCAGGAGATCAACACTGCTTCAATTAATAGTACGGGACAGCATGTCAGGATCAGCATCAGACATACCTAAATATAAAGAATTAACCTGGAGAAGCTGCCACCTACAACTCACAGGAAAAGGACATCTCTGCAGGAGTTCCCCAGGCCCAATGATCTTCAATTATTTTATTAATGACCTTCACTCCATCATAAGATTAGGTAGGGATGTTCACTGATAACTGCACAATGTTCAGCACCATTCACATCTCCTCAGATACTAAAGTAGTCCATGTCCAAATGCAGCAAGACTTGGACATCATTCAGACCTGGGCTGATAAGTGGCAGGTAACAGATTTGTACCACACAGGTGTCCATCTCCAACCACGCGGAATCCAATCATCAGCCCTCGACTTTCAATGACATTACCTTTGCTGAATGCCCAACTATCAAATCTGATCTGAAACTGAACTGAGCTTGCCTTGTAAATACTGTAGCTACTAGAGCAGATCAGACCCTAGGAATTCTGCAGTGATTCACAGACTTATACCACATACAAGGCACACGTCAGGAGTGTGATGGAATACTCTTTCCTTGCCTTGATGAGAGCAGTCAACAAACAATCCAACAACAATCAAGAAGCTTGACACCATTGAATACAAAGCGGGCTTCTTGATTGGTACCCCAACTAAAAGCATTAATGTTCACTCTCTCCACCAGCGATACACATAAACCCATGACCTCTGCCACCTACAAGGGCAAGGACAACAAATGCATGGGAATACCATTACCTGCAAGTTTCCCTCCAAGCCAGACACTATCCTGACTCAGACTTATATCACTGTCCCTTCACTACAGCTGGCCCACTGGAACTTCCTCCCTGACAGCATTCTGGGTCTACCTGTGCAACACAGTCTGCTGCAGTTCAAGGAAGTTAGCTCACCACTACGTCCTACAGGGAAATAAGGGATGGCAATAAATGCTGAACGAGGCAGTGCCACCAACATCCTGTGAATCAATAAAGCAACCAGCTATATAGTGCTGTTCTCCATCAGTGATAAAATGGAGCAAGAACCATTGCGCAACGCGGTCTGCCAAGGATCATAAGGAGGCAATAGCAGGAATTTGAGTTACATAGGTATAGGCATAGCAGAACTTATCTCTGGAACATTCCCAACTAGCTTATGAAGGCTATGGGATTCATATGTAGCAATGACCAGCTTTAATCCATTTAGAAAATTAATACATGCAACCATTATGAAAGAATTCCAAACCCCTTGGAATGGTGCAGGGTGAATCACAGATAAAGGTAACAGGCCTTCTGCAATCCATACATATACCTGGGCACTATATACTCATGTGACACTAGCTGGGGTTGGCGGGGGTAGTTGGTACCATAAAAAAAACACAATGAAAATGCTTAGGTTTGAACAACGTAGATGTAAAACATGAATCATATTCACCACTAACCATTAAATCAAATCAATTTTTACTCTATATCTTAAAGTCTTATGATTTTTCTGTTCAACTTCTTCTTCAGGAAGGAATCTGTCAATTGTCAAAAAGGCAAATAAATGGAGGGTGTCCAAACTGGCTAAAGTGAATGATTATAAAATGTTTTGCTAAAATCTCATTGTCTTAACGTGACACAAAATGCACAGCCTTCAGTCAAAAACCTACCATGATGAAGGAATTTCCATTTATAGGATGCTTTTCAAGACTTCAGAACATCATGAAGTGTTTCTTAGACAATGAAGAATTTTTTAAAATTTTTTAATTTTTTTAAAAATGTAGTCAAGGAAACACAACAATTGCACAGCAAGATCGCACAAATACGAACAAGTAAGATAATTTCTGGCAATATCGGTTAATGGATAAACATTGACTGGGTTTGTGGGACATCTCCACACACTACTTTGATAAATGTTATGGGTTCTTTTACATTTACACAACATTCATTCAGTATTGTAGTCAGTGGTCAACCTGGATGGTAACTCTCTTGAGCAAGGCTTGAACCATCACCATTTCCATTATAAGCCTGTGCTACCACTGAGCCAAGGCACCTTTTTTGCTTCTTGATTTTTGTTAAAAAACTTTAAATTGTCAACTTATGTTAGGAGTGAACCGCGTTAGTTTTGCGACTTGGTGCTGAATACATAAAATTTAAATTTCTCAAGCTCATGTTTATATTCTTTGATAAATTCACCTCCCCTCCCCATCTTTCTTAGTAGTCCCCTCAAGACCCATAACCCTACACACCAGCCCCAGTTGTCCATTTCTCTGAACCTGGTATCCCAGCCTTCATTTCACCATCGGCAGTCAGTCCTATATTCATCTACTGAGTGTTTACCATTTGGAATTCTTGCTGTAAAAACTTATGCTTCTTTTGACAATCCACACCACTTAAAAACTAATTTAACATCCTTTTAATTCCTCTTTCTCTGACTTAACATTTTTTTTCAATTATGCGTTTTGGGAATGTGACTTGGGAACCTATCTACATTAAAATACTGTTGGTATTTCTCTTCGTTAAACAACAAAATTATGCTAAAAGTAGCAAATGAACTACAAGGAAATGTGTTGGATGCAGACCACTTTCAACACAATTTAGAAACATTGGTTAGGGAGGCTCTTACACAAAATAAAAACAGAAAGAACTGCAGATGCTGAAAATCATAAACAAAAACAGAAATTGTCAAGCTTTTCCAGCAATTTCTGCTTTCGTTTCATTTTAACGCACATTTCTTTATATAAATTTTATAACTTTGATGTACTCAATCCTGTGTCCTCATGTAAGTTAAAGGTAAATAATTCAAGTTTGTTTCCTCAAAGCATCAGGACCAAACTACTCAAACAAATTTCGTTCTCATCCTGCTTGTGTGCCCAACTTTATTGCTCAGTTGAAGATATGGAACACCCTCCCTCATGGCACTGTGGGTGTACCTATACCAGAAGAACTGCAGCAGTTCAAGAAGAGGGGCTTACCACTACTGCTCTCCAGGGCAACTAGAGCTGGGAACAAACATCCTGTGAAAAAGTTTTTCAGAAATAATTTTAAGTACGAAGATACATGAAAACAACTGTGAATGCTCTTCAGACTCGAAGAAGGGTCCAGGCCCGAAACGTCAGCTTTCCTGCTCCTCTGATGCTGCCTGGCCTGCTGTGTTCATCCAGCTCTACACCTTGTTCAGTAGCAAAAAGAAGAACCTTTCACAAAATCTGTTGCCACAAACTAAATTATTCCCACAACGTGTTTATGTTGAAAAATCAAGCAGTAAATCCAAAATAAAACAAGGCCTAAATGTTCTCTTAATAATTAATTAATATCACCAGATTTAGCACAATATCACAGTATTAATATTCTGCATTCATAGCTCTAAGTTATTGTGCTGCATTTCAGACGCCCACAACTTTAAAGGATCCACACTTTTATAACAATGCGTTTCAATGTCAAGCTTTACCCCAGATTACAATCTGCTGTAGCAATAACCACGCCAATAACCTTCCAAATTTAATTTAATAATTCCATACATTACCAATTTCAGAGCAAGTCATCACTATGGTGCAACTGATCGAAAAGTCTGCATTTCATTTGAAATTGCTCATGAAGAACTGCGCTGCCAAACTCCTGCCGTCTTCCTGTTCCAGTCACTGTGAGAGGTCTCTGTCCCGCACCTCACAATCACATGTCACCGCTCGTATCCTGACCTGCAGGGTCACATAACCCTGCACGCCGATAAGAAAATATCACATGCAACCGAAGGAATGCTTCAAACAGCGTTATGTCTAACCACATGATGTTGAACCAATAGCTTGCGATAAAAGAAAGCCTGAATGAAAGAATGATAGACCCTGTTTCTAGTGTAGTGCAGAGCCGGGGAGTCTGATGTACGTTGTGTAATGCACCTGGGAGTCTGATGCAAACAGGATTATTTTGAACTGGAAACTTGACTACACAGTGGTCTTGAGCAGAGAGTTTGATGTCTACGGGTATACTTAGAGCTGGAAGTTTGAAGTACATGAGATTACTTAGACCTGACACTTATTTACACAGTGTAAGTCAGCTGGGAGTTTGATGTAGGGAGTGTTGTTTGGAGCTGGAACTTTGCACACAGGGCTCTTTATACTTGGGAGTTTGGCGTACGCAGTGGATTTTAGATGAAATCTGATGTACACCATTGTTTGGAGCTGAGACTTTGATGTACACAGTGGAGCCCAGCTAGGAGTTTGATACACAGGTTATTTAGAGCAGGGAGCTTCATGTAGACGGGGCTATTTAGAGCTGGGATTTTGATGCACAGTGTTATTTACAACTGGCAGTTTGATGTACAGAGTGAGCAGAATCTTATAGGGGTCTGAGTGACAAGAGATGTGTGGCAGAATTGGATGAGAATTCTGACAAGGCCCATCTCAATGTCAAGATTATCTTGCCCCATCTTTTTATGCTTTTCAATAGTATGCCAACATTCTCGCCAGGGAGCCGCAAGGTGCCAGTGGAATGAGGATCAATACTTGTTAAACGATGTGTGAACACTGAAACACACCTCATTATCACTCAGCCTCCAATCTTACCAAACTCGCCAAACAGGCTAGACTTCAGGAAAACTCAACGGATGCCCAGTTGGCACTGGACCAGGCTGTGTCTAGAGCTGCTCGCTTGCTCAGTTAGCACCTGCTCACTACCTGCATGGTCGCAGCTTCCCTGCCCTGTCATGCCAGTTAGTGCAGCCCCAGGGCATCGCGCCTTTCTGGCAAGCAGCCCTCAATCTAAGGGGGCGTACTTCTTACAGAATGGCAGTGTCAACACAAGCCAGCTCCAGCTTACACGGCAAACATACTGGATGTGCAGCAAGTTGGAAACAACGACATGAAGACTTAGGCCTCTACCGAGGTCCGTGGAGACAATGGCCAGTTAAGGCCTCCTGGCACAGTCAGTCAGTGGCATCCTCCCACAGCAGGCAGGGGAAATGGCTACAGTCAGACATCCAGTCAGGATGTTCTCGATCAGGGATATTTGTCTCTGCAGTTCAGGGGGAGGGTTACAGCCAGTCCGCTGTCCCTAAACTAGCAGGTCCAAGGGGTAGGGCTAGCGTGCTTGGGGAGCTGTATAATTACTAGTTCTTGTCCCGACACTGAGCCTTAGCACATGAGTTTTCAGAACTAGGGGTTGCAGGCTGTGGGCAAGAGCTCAAGGTGTGATGCAGGGGCAGGGGTTGGGGAGCGTCCACAGCCAGGAGTACCCTGGCTTCACGTGGGACAACAGTGAATAACAAAATCAGCCATGGTCACCTTGTAAACCAGGAACTGGGTGGTAGAGGTGCCAGCATACATAGACGGGTTGTGTGGGGACGTGGATGAAAAAGTGTGAAACCTGTGGGATTAACAAGATGGGCAACTTAGAAGGAGATGTAGATGTCTGGGACACAAAGATCTCATCAGGACCCATTGTTATGTATACATACTCTTCCCTCTGCTTCTAGATGGTGCAATAGGGTCTCAGCACAGACCTCCATCAATGGAGCCTTCTCTGTGGCTATGATCTATTTTCTTCCCAATGTCCTGACTACAGCTCGGAGGCCTGTACAAAACCCCCATTAGAATCTATTTTCTTTACAGTTCCTCAACTCAACATGCCTTCGAACTTGGTAACGCTTCTTGCTATCAATTTAATTTTATTTCTTACTAAAGAGGCAATCCTGCACCCTCTGCCCATCTGCCTTTCAATGGGACCTGTATCCTTGCATATTTAGATTCCAGCCCCAATCCCATCGCAGCCATGTCTCTGACACCTACAACATCGTACCCATCAATTTCAATCTGCGCTCCAGGCTCATTTACCTTGTTTCATATACTGCATGCATTTAAGTACAACACCCTCAGTCCTATGTTGGCTGCCTCCCTTCTCATAGTTGTCCCCTTATCTGCTGTGCCTGAAGTTAGATTTCTGAGCCTTTGCATACTCTCAGTCTTATTCTTTGCTCAGGACACTTTAATAACATCAGCTGAGTCCTGCATGCCTTTAATATTTTCCATAATATTCCATGCAACTGAATCCAACCCCCTACTATTTACTTTAAAGCCCTATCCATAGCCCTCGTCATGCAATTTACCAGGACTCTGGACCCAGCATGATTCAGCTGGAGCTAATCCTGTCGCAACTGCTCTCTCCTTCCCGAGTCCTGGTGCCAATGTCCCATGAATTTGAACCCGTTTATCCCACACCAAACTTTGAGCCACATGTTTATCTCTTTACTCTTGTTGACTCTGTGCCAATTAGCTTGTGTCTCAGGTAGTAATTTGAATATTATTATGGTTTTGGTTCTGCTTTTTAATTTAACCCCCAGCTGCTCATATTCCCTCCATTTCTCTCTCTACCTATATCAATTGGTACCAATGTGAACAACAACAAATAGATCTTTCAAATGACCGACTGCAACAGTCTGAGTATTTGCATCGGACACACAGGGCTGACCCCTTGTTCAAAGATGTATGGAACCAACTGACCATGCCCAAGTTTCTGGACTGAGAATTGAGCCTCTCCTTGACTGATTGTGCTGGGATCCCATGACTGAAGAGTGTCTCCCTTCACATGGCTGAGAGCTATTCCCTTAGACTTTCTGACATAGTTGTTTGGTTGACGCACATGCACAGTGTGTCTCATGCACTCACCTTCATCATGCTGTAGGTGTCAGATTGACGGAGAACAGTGCCATGCAGCAACACATCCACCCCCTTGACTGGTCACTGCTGACAACCATGACAAGCTGCCTGACTTAAGATAACAAGGTGTAGGGCTGGATGAACACAGCAGGCCAAGCAGCATCAGAGGAGCAGGAAAGCTGATGTTTCGGGCCTAGACCCTTCTTCAGAAAAAGACTTTGTGTCTACACAAAAATGCAAGACAAGATGTGAGAACTGTGATAGTACAAATACCTTGAGGTGCCCTTCCCATGATACAATCCGACCCAAGCACAGGAGATGGCCTGTTACCTTTTCCTCCTGTCCCATGCCCTAAGCAGGTGAAACAGTGTTAGACATGCACTTCATTTCATTTATTGCACTGTAGTTCACTGCTCACAATGCTCCTCTGCATTGGACAGGCCAAATGTGAATTGGGTCATATCTTTGTGGAACACCTCTATTCTTTCTCAATGGTATAATTCTCTATCGACTTACTCTCTGGCCTCTCTGTCTTTAGCTTCCTACACTGTTCCAATCAATCTCAATGCAAGCCTGAGGCACAGCATCTCATCTTTTGGACTTTTGTTTTTCTTACTTCTGAACAGAATTCTTAGGGACAATTCCATTTTTACATTTGCGCACTTCTAACCATTTCTTATGTCTCTTTACTTTTCCTGTTGCTTTCTGCTTTTGTCTCTCACCATCATCCCTGTGCAATTAAGCCTTCCCCTCCCACATTTCCCTGTTTCGCTTTAAAAAAAACTATTTGCTCTCTAGTCCATCACGTTGAAATGTTAAATAACAAGGTGTAGACCTGGATGAACACAGCAGGCCAAGCAGCATCAGAGGAGCAGGAAAGCTGACATTTCAGGA